ACTAATAATCTGTGTATTTTTAACAATTCTTCAACTTTTAGGTTATGGGTATTTTTTTTTAGGATTTTGCCTCCGTATCGATTTGTTCCATAAAGGCGATTGCATTTGATTATTAATTTCTTTGACTAGTTAATTTATCTATAAAGAAAATGCTGTTGTTTCCCCCCTAACTCAACCATATATGCAAGAAACTTTAAATGACCTATGTGCCACACAGGCACAGCTGCTCCTGAAAAACGTTTGCGGTTTAAGACAACAACAGATGCCTCTGAGAAACAAGTTATTGAGGCCATGCAGAAAATAGCTTCACACATAAAGAATCCATCAAAGTTCACCAAGGCATCAAAGCTTGCAATACAGCTGATTCAGGCTGGCAGTGTCAAGGAAGAAACCAGCGACTATTTCTTTTCTATACTTGAATCTTCAATGTCTTCTATAAAAAATTGCAATGAGCCCTCCGTGCGTGCTGATTATCATGCGCTGTTCTCAGCAGCTCAAGATGTAGCTGAAGTAAGATATCAAGCTTCCCTGCCACAATTGTAAAACTCTACCGTCTTTAATGGGTCATAAGACAGTTTTAACCAACTCTAATCTTGCAGTGCCTTAAAATGGAGCAGCGAAAATTGTTGAGTACATGGACAATAAGGGCTGTTTGTGCAAATGATCTGTTCACAGATGATAGCTTTGTGGTAAGTTTGTCTACTCGTCCAATGCAACTACATATAAATTTCACTGCCCTTGTTTTACGTGTTTTATGGATGATGTTGTTTCATTTTGTTGCTGCCTTAGTTTGCCTAAACTTTTGCCTAGTATTTAACATGTTGGGACAAACTATACTGTCCAGAAAATAATTTTACTCTTTCAACTTCTCGCCATCATGACCTTTTTTATTTTTTGCATAATGATTTTCTTAAGAATATTGCATATGGTGATTTGGAATATACTACCGGACACAAAAGAATAACTATTTTCCTAATATACCCTTTATGCTATTCACTTCCATGATCCTCTTTTGTTGATATCCATGCTAATTAAATAAGGTAAAGTAACAATATTTCAACTATTCTATATAAATAAACATGTCCATGTTTGTGGAATGAACTGAATTAGGACTATTATATCAATTAAATTTCTATATCTGTGGCAAGGAAGGAGTAACTTTGAGTTTCTTTCTTTCTTTTTCAAAAAGACTTTTTGGAAAAATCTTCCATGAATAATGCAACATGGTGTGGAAAATGTATTTATTAATTTTCTAATATATATAATTAGATTGTCAAAATCATATAATCTTTTTCGGAAATCATTTCCCCTACATGTTTGTGGTAACTTACAAGGCTTCCAATGGTTGAGGCATGGGCCTTTTTGTACCTTGGATACAGTGACATCAGGAGTATACACAATTCTGTTAGTGCTTTTTATAAAACCCCATTAGAGAAACTATAGAGTTGATAGGAAGTAGTTAAATACTTGCACTTTCATCTATTTTGAATTTATAGGTGAGGAAGTGGGGAAACACTGTTAGTTTGCCATAGGTTAGTGTGGGGAAGCACTGTTAGTCTGGCGTAGATTAGTTACCCGACTTAGGTTAGTTACCGGACTGTTATTGTGTATAAGTGTGGGTTAAGCACCTTTTTTGTTGAGCTAGCTTTTGGGGATTAGTTCTGGTCAGACTCATTATCATAGTACGAAGTATTCAAGTTGTTTGTTAAAGGGAAATGTTGGGTTTAGACCTAACCCATTTGAATTGACACATTTTGTAGGTGGGTGTTAAAATTTACGAGTTTATGTTTCTCCACACGGATTAGCTACTGGGTAGTTATTGTATATAAGTGTGGGTTATGCATCCTCTAGCTTTGAACTAGTTTTTTAAAATGAGTTCTCGGTAGACTATTTATCACGCGAATGCTTGTAACCAGTCGACTAGGTTAGCCCGAACTTTGACCCATTGAGAAATAAAGTGTGTCTTAAGTGTTTTGAAGTCAATTTATCTTGCCATGTTACCAGATTAGGCCATAAATTGAGGCTCTGGATGCATTAGTTTTCATTTAGACCTCACTCTCATTCAATAGAAGAGTCCCGATTCGGCCCAAAAAAATAAAATAAAAAATAAAATAAAATATAAAATGTGAGTAATAATATGCCTTTCTTGATGCCCATTGCCGATTGATTGGTCTCGTGATAAGTTATTGATTGTGTCAGAAATTGTATGTTCAGGTTATTGCTTAGAATTCGGACCCTTTATATCTCATAACAAATATGTGTTTTCATTGTCTTAGTCCTTAACTTTGTAGGCCTAGCCTAGAACACACGAACCAAAGGATTGAAGTGAGAATCTTCAATAATTATAAAATGAATGTTGAATGAATGCAATATGCTTTTTTCCATGAAAAGGGAGACTCAATATCTAATGTGAAAAGGGCAAAAAAAATTGAACAAACAGGAGACAAAATGGAACAAGCTAAAAAGATAATGAAGAAAATGTTAACAAAGAGAAAACATGAACATATTTTTATTTGATGTCTGTTTGATGATTCATACCTGTTATGGAGTTCAACAAGGTTTATGGGGAAGGACCTGAAGACTTTCATTAAGCAACGATGTCAAGGCAATGTAAAAACAAGTTGTTATGAGTTTTTTTTGACTAAGTTACGTCCTTAATTTGATACTTTCAAGAATCATCTTCTATTTGAATCGACTATTCCTTTCTCTCCTAGAGACATTTGCTCGATCCCTTCTTAGGAGATTTGTTCATCCCTTCTTACTTAGGAGTATTCTAGACCTACTTAAATAGGGAAACCTCCCTTTTTTTTGGTGACACGACCACATGCCTGATTTCTAAAGGCACCAACTGTGTCGTTGATTCTTGTGCATTAGCAGGTAGCTCAGACCTTTTTATCCACCTTTCATCTTCATGCACCATCTTCTCTTTTAATATTGCCGATTGCCGATTCCTCTACTCGTCATGTCCATAGTTCTGGTTTTGTTCACCTTGCTCCCTCTATTTCGATACACTCTGTATTTAATTTTCCTAATTTTGCCCTTAACTTGTTCTCTGTGCGTAAACTCTCTAAAACCACTGAATTATAGCTCTCATTATTCTTGGATCGTTGATCATTTTATCTTTAGGATCCTTTGGTGAAGAAAATCCTTGGTAAATGTTGTGAATCTGATGATCTCTATATTTTTTACTCCCTGGCACCGTAGTCACTTGTTCGCACCATATAGTCCTTCACACTTGAGATGCATTGTTATCCTGGTCATCATTCTCTTTGACTACTATTCAAATGCTTAAGAGTGATAATGCAAGATAACATTTGTTACATCCTTACTATCTTATATGCTTGAAAATGGTATTTTGCATTAAATATCATGTGTTGAAAATCGGACTATTGATTTGACACCTCCTTGAGGTTGTTCGAGCATTATTATTTCACATGAAAGTTCCTAAAACTTTTTAGCATTGATGTCGTGTCCACTACTTGCTTCTTAATCAATTGCACGCGCTCATTTTTCTTAGATAATACAGTTCCTTTTTGTCGTCATTTTACCAGATAAAACTGTATTTCTTTACCACCTAAAAATTTTCATAGTATGACTATTTGTTATGTCCGGGATACTCGACTTCATATCACTATAGATTCCAAATCTCTCAAATGTGTTTTTCTTCGGTTGTCCCGTGTACAAAAAGGGTATTTTTGTTTCTCTTCTGCCCTCAATCGTCATATTGTATCTAGAAATGTAAGTTGCAACGAACATCTTTTTTTCCCTACTCGGAAGTCGTTGTATCTGGAGTACAACTTGGTATGCTCTGTTGCTATTAACCGAACCTCTTTCACCTCCTTCCCCCTCTCATCCAGAATCTTCTCCAGCCCCGAGTACTTGACCACCCATTACTCAGCCATAATATGGTGGCCAGGCTAAAGTCCGCCATGCCATTTCCGTTATTTAACAACACTGACCTTGGGTCTGAAGCCCACTAATTTATTGAAAATAGATTATAACATTATAAATATAATGGTGAATGGTCTGTAATAGGATGGCAATGGGATGGTAAAAATTAGCTTCTCTTTGCACATTTTTGTTCTATAATGCTGTTGTGCATGTTGATGTACACTCGTTCACTTGAAATGGAAGAGCTTTTCAAGAGTTTCTTAGAATTATATGTGATTATGCCAAGTTCAGTGGTATGGAATAAGAAGTCAGCAATGTAAGACATTAGGTTCTTAAATTTAGTTCAGCTACACTTCTCTACATTCTGTCAGTGTTATATTTGAGAGTACACCGAGTATTTCCGTGATGTTTGCATAAGCATCAGCTGTTATGTAATATTTTAAATAGGGTTATTGTTGTGCTCTCTGGATTCAACTTTCTCCAATATAACTGTTTTCTGTGGCTATAGAAATGTATACTTTTATTACTTTGCTGAATTTTCCTTTACAGTGAGCTGCTCGTGCTCGTTCTTCCATATTAATATTCTGTGGTATAATTCATTACTTGACATGTGTGGTTAATTTAACTTGATGCTAAAACTTTGATGGTGTGTATGAATTTGATGTTTTATTGTTATTATTTCATGAAGTTTAGTTGTTGTGATTGTTTACTTAGAGAGCTGAGAATTTAACTTGCCTGATCTGTATTGGAATATTGATCAGTTCTCGAAAGTAACTGGAAGAATAAAAGATCTGATTTTGACCCTTCCTTTGGCAACTAAAGAAGATGATGCGGAAGAAGCTGTGGCCCTAAAAAATGAGGCCGGCGAGTTGAATGCAGATGGACAGCTCAACAAGGAACTCTCTCCTGTTACATTTAATGAAGAGGCCGATGACCCATATGGACTAGATGCCCTGATATCAAAGGAGGAAAAAACAAATAGGAAAAAGGTGCCATTGTCAAATTCCGTAAAAGACGATGAACAACAGAGCAGGAGACTTCTCAAGTTACAGAGAGAGGCTTTGGTCAGCTGTTTAGAGATTGCTGCAAAGAGATACAAAACACCATGGTTTCTTTTACTTCTCATTCACTAGTGTACTATTGATTATAATCCAAGGAAAACTGAGGGGGGAATTGGTAAGCAGTAAAAATCGATTTTGATTGGATGAGTTATTTGAATGAAGTTGATTGAGTGGAATGAGAGAGATTGTGATTAAATAATATTTAAAACATAATGATTAAAGTTGATGTGATGTAAAAGTAAGAGAAATGATTGAAAGTAATAGGTAGTTATGTGAGTAAATGATTAGTGAGTTAAATTTGGTGTGATGTAGGAGAGAGATGATTGATAATATTGAAGATAGTAAAGTTGAGTTATTTGAGTGAAAATGAGGAAAAAAAATTCTATAGCTGATTGTGCTTACCAATCACCCCTGAAAAGTTTTCTATTTATTTATTTTAGTAATGTGGATATCCTCATATATTTCATTTATTTTTTTAACAGGTGCCAGACGACCATTGACATCTTAGCGAAGCATGCATTTGATAATATTGCAAGATTCACAACTCAACAACGGGATGCCATTTCGAAGCTTTGGGCCTCAATTAGGGAACAACAAACTCACAGAAAACAAGGAAAGTCTGTGTCTGGGAAACTTGATGTAAATGCCTTTGAATGGCTTCAGCACAAGTATGCGAATGAGAAGATCAGCATTCGTCATTCAGTAGGAGGCAGTGGAGATCGTCGTTGTCAACAGTGGCTTGGTTAATGCCATACAGAAGAAGAAGAAAAAAAAAAAAAATTGTTTGGGGACATGTTTTTCTCCTGCAGTGCGTTCGAACATTTGTGTAAAAGGCCCATAGTTTACATTTTCATATTTTTTTTTCTTTCTGTGAGCCTAATGGTATGATTCCTCGTTAAGACTTTTGTGGTGGCTATTTTATTATAATTATTCTACAAGCTTAACGCTCCAAAACATCTTATACAGAAGGCAATCCTGACCAGCAGCATTGCATAACGTGTATAACAGATGTTTGTGGAAGTAGAAAATGTTTAATTTGTGGTGTAATGTTTTCTAGATCTGTCTAACAAATTTTAGGATGATGTATTATTTGCTTTTGCTATCTTCCTTTTACCCAAAATGAGATGTTAATACCTTTGATGTGATCCACCAAATAACTGGTCGGACCTTTTGGAAATTCTGGGCTTGGTAATTTGATTGCCTATGATGTAATTGTTATGAGTGTAATTGTTCACAGTTAAAATAATGACCTACAAAAAGGGTCGAGAGGTTCTTCCGGTGTTAGCACTTCGACGATCAAATTAGTATGGGGAGATGGAAAAACTGTATTGAGTATATTCAAAATATATCAATTTTTTCTCTATTTATAGTGTAATGATCTTACCCTTATTATGTCTTGGTGGCCAAGAAAGGGTTGCTCGAAAGTACAACGTGCTGCCCGGGTAAGCTACTCGAGATTCGTAGGTATCCTAATGACTTGGATTTATTTTGATGTGTCACACTGACTAATATCTTTTACGTCTTCATAGTCCCAGGTCGAGCAGTACGCGTAGGGATGGTTTTAGGTCGTCAGATCTCGGTTGCTTAAATGACATGTTGGCTAGGTCGTTCCATCTCATCATTACCCATTAGGTCAAGTACTAATCCCTGGCGTTGAGTTGTGCTTCTTTGGACCTATTTTCCCCGACCTGATATAACTAGTCGACTTGATTTCCCTCGTGAATCGGCCATGTCGAGTCGTACCTTAGGCTATATTTTACTATTTGTATCATCTAGTCACCCCTATACCTGATTTGTGCAAGCTCGACCTAGAGCTCGCTAATAAGTATGATCAATAGGAATGACACATTGTCTTGTTGTATGTGATAGGAATGTCAAAGTGCATTTATTGTAAATATGAGAGGACACCTTGGGATTTTCAAAGACTCCTCGTAATTTGTGTCGCTGATTTGACTTCTTCAATCTGGACTTCGATCCATTTTTCATATCAACTACACTAGGTATAAATACCTTGACTTGCTTCTTCAGAAAGTTTTTTACTTTCTCAGATCTCCTACTTCTCGCTTTCTGGCTTTCTGACTCCCCAGCGACAACAACTCCAATTCGGACGACTTTTTTGATCTCAGACCACCGTCTCTCTGGCAAAAGTGGGTAAGCTCTTGAATTCTATGAGTCATCTCTTGTTTTTTAGCCTTAGGCCTATGATTTTTCATCATTTTCTCTTATCTTCATCTTCTTATTCGCT